ATATATTATTATATATATATAATATGATTGTTCTCATGCAGAAATTCGCCAAAAGGAAATGTATTTTAACAATAGAGAAAACAACGTACTGTCCTCATTTAGCAACTCTATTCTCAACGTAGAACTTAAATGTCAAACACTAGACATGTAGAGTCTCTTCCGGCAACATTGCTGGCAATTTTGTTGGTAAGAGATTCGTTACAGTGACGAATCTTCGTTTGACAGTTTTAATTTATCAACCATTTATGTCATAAATTATTTTATATAGTTATCCAACTTTTATTATAATTATCAAAATCTCTAATTTAATATATAAAAAATGATTAAGTGAAACATTTAAACTTTTTCAATAGAAATAAAAATTCGTTCCAGAGAAATTTAACAATTTTTCTTTTTTTGGATGATCTACAGATTATCTACTTAACTATTCCTGAAAATGCAAACTGCTAAAGATTATTATTAATTACTTGACTAGAAGAGACAGCATCCTTATTGGCATCGTCTTCGACAATTTTCTCGGATGGTTTGGCTCCGGCATCAATCAACAACTTCAATAATTTCACCTCTTGCCTAGGCCAGAGAATGCATTCAGAACTGTCCAGGTAACAGTCTTCTATAGGCGCTCCACTGCCTACCATCCAGACCACTTGAAGCGTGTGCACATCCAGGTTACAATTTGTAGTAGCTATACTCGTTATGGCTCGTTGCAGATGTTGTCCTAACACGCAGATCTCGTCGGCGTTTAATTCTGGTCCACGAAGGGTATAATAAGCGGCCAGCATTGCGTGACCCTCAATAGCGGAACATAAATATTTCTGCGTGCAATGTTTCACGTCCAGCAACCATTCTGCAAAACTATGATGGAATAACATCAATGCTCCTGCACGAGAGACAGAGATGACTCTGCGTAAAAGGTGCAAACGTCGGTTGAAGTCTTCTATGGTAATACTCGTGCATGCCGTTTTTACGCATTTGTAGAGTATCTCTTGTGTGATTGGTAGTTTTGCGGCCAGTATCACGTTTAGCAAAGGTTGAACTTTGGCAAATTGCTTTCTACTGAAGAGTCTTTGACACAACCATAGGTAGAGACCATTCAGGGTGCCTGGTATCTCGCGAACCTCGCGTAGCACGATAAAGTTCTCGGCCACACCATCGAGAACTTTCTCCAGGTACAGGAAACAGCCGTTGCTCTTGATGTGCAGCTGGTTTAGCATCTCGGCTGTATCGCGCGAGATGTGCTGCCTAAGTGAATGAAAATTCAGTCGTTTTTATCGCTTTATCTATTATTAATTATTTTATATTAAAAAAAAGTATATGTTATTCTTTTTGGTCGAAAAGATATTTTCAAAGATGATTTCAATGATATTGAAATAGGTTATTAAGGATTATTATTTTGAATATTTTTTTTTTATAATTGACTTTATTTTTTGAATTATATACCAAAATATTTTTCACACTAATTTTCAAAAATGTAAAGAATGATACGATGAAAATAAAATTATCTCACTCTATCTTTGCTTATAAATAATAAAAAATTTATGTATATCAAGTTTAATGTTTATTTTAGACTTTAGAACAAATTTTTCAACAGTGTCACGAGTATATTAATATATAAAATTTATAATCTTTTAAATAAATTTTAAATATCTTTCTGTATTACTTAAAAATTAAATACATAAAGAAAAATAGAATGATTTTTAAGAACATATTTCAATATTGAATAATATGTTTTTAATATTTTCACTGCTAGATGTAAAAATTAAAATCAGTAAAGCCACATATTTTTTAAAGTATATCTTCTTTTTCTGTAATATCAATTTATATTCTTTTTCTGTAATATAAATTATATAGGATGATCTGAAATAAATATTTTAATACAAATTCAATAATTTATCTTTACTTGATAATTGAAAATGAATTACTTTCAGATAATAAGGTTTTATCAAAATGTAAAGGCTCTGTTGCAATGTAAGTAAAAAATATGTGACTTTATTTAAAAAAAAGTAATCTTAATATCCTTTCTAAAAAATAATCAATAAATATTAAATTGTGCATTCTTCTTGAAATCAAGCAAATTTAATTGATATTATTAATATTTATTAACAAAAATAAATGAATAATATTATTTTAAATGCTTCCCTCATCTTATATAAACGATAAAAGATTAAATTCATTAAATTTATTAATCAGAAAAAAAATCAATATTTTCATTTACAACACTATGAAAAAAAGAAAACTTTAATGTATCTAATATTAAAAAATACACACCTAAGCGCATCTTCTTGATCTAACCGAGCGAGAATATACTGCTGAATATCTCTGACCACTAAGGACTTTCTTAAATCATCCAAAGGGATTTTCCGAAAGCCGCTGAACATCCTCGAGATTGGCTTGCTCTGACGCCGAGCGGTACAAACCAACAGCAACCATTGAGGAAACAGATGATGATGATTAGCCAACAATTCAGCAATTGTTCTACTGACGTTATCATTTTCTCTTCTTGAGTCTCTGGTACCGGTTTGTGGAAGATCCAAAGTTTGACCCTCGTCGATGGAATCGACTAATAGAAACAGACAATTTTTTGGTGGTTCCAACTCGAGAAGAGGAAATAGTAGTGCCTTCTTTAAAGCGTCGTCGGGGTCTCTGTCAAGAACATCTGGTTGCAAGGCGGCTTGTATTTCTGGGTCCGTTCTAAGCTTTTCCGCGTACGCTTCTGCCACCATTTCCCTCGATGTTAATGGTACTGTTGTGGCATTGGTGGTCGTTGTGCTTCCTGGTATTGGAGAGCTCGAAGACACTCTAAGGAACATTTGAAGAAAATTAACTTTGAGTGTGTGAAATATATGCGTATGAATAATATTATTATTTGATTTTTAGAATTATATTATTGAACTTAAGTAAGTAAGTTATTAAAGAGTCCAATGTAATGATATATTTAGCAATTGCGAGCAATATATACAGAATATATTATATAAATACTTATAATAAAGTAGGCTCAGAAACAGTACTTTTGTTGTTTATATAAATAAAATTGTGGATAATCATAAACAATGTTCAGAATAATACAAATAACAGAAAATGAAGTAGGATTAGCAAAACATAATAAAACAAAATTCAACGTATGAGCCAAGAGGCAAAAAGTGGTTTTGAAAAATAATGCTGTTCAATATTGTTTGTCGTCCAAATAGCCATGGAGAGCCATGCGCAACAAATAATGCAGAAAGTTCAATAGAAGTTTCAACCTCTCCATAAGTTGTTTTGTTTTCAGAATTGTTTATAAAATCACATACAGTACTGGTCTCAAGTCTCATATCGTCATTTCATTAATTTCACCATTGGGATTGCCAAATGGAAACTTAAGTAATTTAATTGCGGCAAATTTTCCAGAAGCAAAATGTATGATTATTGCTACGTTTCTGTTAAAATTAAATATTGCATCGTGTCACGTAACATGGCTATTTGACACAGTAGATAATATTAAATATTTTTTATATGTGGAAAGAAAATCAAGCTACTTTTAGTGCTAGAAGAGGTAATAGAGGTAAGAGGTTTCTCGCAAAACAAATTTAATAAGAATTCATTTAAGGGAAAACTGGTCTAAAGAGATTAAACTCTCAAATTTACCTGTGAATTCCATCCGAACCGGGTTGCAGAAGTTGAGCAACTAGGGATCTGACGAATTGTGCTGGTGACAAGGATGCTTCGCTCCTAGCTTGGCAAAAGTGCCTGGCCAATAATCTCCTGTTCAAAGATCTTTGATGTCTGGCATTGGCACCGGCCGATGGCCAAGCTAATTCCGCACTGAACGCAGTTTTCCCGCTTCCTGGACCACCGACGACCAGAACACCGCAGGTTTTCGAGGCTGGCCTTTGCTCCAAGCAATGGGACAATTTAGTGAACGCCCATTCGCGGCAAAAGAATCGTTTCTTCTCTATCACCGGTGCGGCCATCTTTCCAAACGATTGTTCCTTCCTTAATAAAAATTAAACCAAACGATCCTAATCGTAATTACACTTCGTTGTTCAGAACTCTTGGTTATCGCGTGTTAATAGATCTTTTCTTTCAGATTTATATTCATATCAAACACAATTCCAAAGTGGTTCGAAATGATTTGTGCGTCTGGATAGGAAATATATCAGAGGCCGTATTCGTGAAGAGCTCTGCTGTTTGAATTTTCTAAACTAATTGGATGATCGATCGATCTGTTCGTAGGTATGTAAAAGCGCGGTTTCTTCAAAATCGTTTCTCCAAAGTGGATCGAGAGTTTTGATTGTTTCGTTAGTTGATAATATCAATTGTTTATGTTTTAATTGCAATTTTGTACAAGTTGCAAAGGATAGTTGATTTAGTTAAAGAATGAATGCGGTGTGCGACTACGGTTCATCTTGTTGTGCTTCTCTGAGGGAAGATTCGTCGGAGCCCCAGGGGGCTCTGAGGCTTCCTCGGCCTCCATTCAGCCTTCTCATCGCCTCGTCGCGGACGAGCACCGCGCTTCGTATCGCTGCATTCTACGCCTGGAACAGAGAAAATTATACATTACATATATTTATGCTACTGGATTAAGTAAATTCATCAAATTAAATAAGTAAATTTTTTATTATCGTCGCGTATCTCGTATTGCACTTTCGTATAGTATTTTGATATAGTAGCTTCTTAATGTACGAATTATAAATATCTGATAGAATGGTAAATCATTCGGATGAAACGGGATTAATTCACGATGAATAAAGTATGAAGTTTAAATAATACTTAAAAATTGAAATGATATCTTCATATTTCAAATTTACTTATAACTTTATTAATAAATTGTTTTATAAATTCTATTCAATACTTCTATCTAATTATACCGTTTATGTAAAGATAAGTTTATAAATTCGGACAACTTGTTGAAAAGTTATTTCTTTAATTCAGGATAAGAAAAAAAATCAAATTGATTAGTATTAAAATTTGAGAAAATTTTGGAAATTTTTGAAAATTTTGAACATTATTAGACGTAATAAAAAAATTCTGGAAATTTTATTATATTTTATTAAGTTTTTTATAATGTTTCTCTTCAACACGAAATATGATTCTTTGTTTCGAAGCTATAATCGATTTAAAAATTCCAACATTTTTATCTTATATAAGAATTCGTAACTAGTTTCCAATTGCTTTATAATAATAACAATATTGGCATAAATCATATTCTCAATACAGTAATATTTTTTATTTTATTACTTTCAATCTGATTTATGTGTTTAGCAAACAATTGAACTCAAGTTTAGTAATAAATATTTTGAATTCTCGCAAAAGTTAACAAAATTTTTGCAATGGTTGTCGCATGAAAATTGTCATTGTCAAACTGAAAATTGATCGACGCAAGTTAAATTTGCTAGAAAGCAATATATCCACGACGAGATTATCAATAATTTATAAAATGCAAACCGCGACTGATCTATGGAATTATATAATTCTTAGAAACATAGAAAGAAGCATTGTTAATTTCAACATTTTATTTCTTGAAAGTATTGTTATTTCAATCTTTGTTATAGAAAAGTATTTTAAATAATTTTTAACAAATATAGGTATAGATATTTTAATAAATGTTATATTTAATTCCAAAGTCGATATTCCTTGATTGGTTAAACCAATTTAGTAAATCAATGCATTATCAAATGTCTATATGTTATCAAATGAGTAATCATGTGCCACATGAAAAACTATGATAAATGAAAAACATTCCGATCTCAAAGAAAGATTCACATTCGGATTTAACCTTATATTTTTGATTTTTTTACATCGATAAATAGCCAATCGAGAATATTTCATGACGATATACCTTTATTATTCGAGATGTAGTCATCAGATAGCATTACAAGGATCGAACTTATTTTATGTCGTAGTTTCTGATGTAAGATAAAATACCAATCCGTTTATATTTTTTTTCAGTGGCTTGTAACATTAGCTATCTATACTATTATATTCTTATTTTATTGATTCTTGATATAGGACAAAGCATTGATCCAGCAATAAAGCAAGATTGTAAACTAAACTTTTAAAGATCACGCTTAATTACATATTGTAAAATGACAAGTGCGATTAATGCTGGTTGTTGGTTATATGACAATAGTCTATATAAATATATAATATATTTTAATATATATAATATATTTAATATATAATAAAATTATAATATAAAATAATATAAAATAAAATTAAATATATAATATATATAAATTTTTTTTTAACAGTTCAACGAAATTATACATTTTTCTTATAGATATCATATGTGACGAAAAACAAAGTAATTTCAATTTTAAACGATGCAATAGACAAATATAACGTTACAAATATGATAGACATTTGAATTCGAGATTATTAGAATTTATTGAACATCTTAAAATTTAATTTAAAAATACGAGATCAATATTTAATTTCATTTAAAATTTCACGTTTCATATATGAATTAATCAAAAATAAAATTTTAAAGAGATAAAAATATTCAGAATTTCTAAAGTATAATAAAATTTGTGACGACTTTTGATATTACATCACGTATCTCAATTTCGCGCTAGAAACTGATGATACCTCGGAGATATCGTCGTAAGTAAAGGAATTAATATTGTGTTGAATGGACGACAATTTTGTCATCATACGATATAATTAGAACATGGTGTCTGTTGATATGATCGTATATTAGACTTATATATATTGCATATATTCTGTTTTAGGATTTCGTATATTAATCTTTTCCTTGTTATCGTTTAAGAAAAAAATTGCTGTTCACAGCTCAAGCCTGAAATTTATTACCTAATGATAAGTATGTATTTTATAATTTTTATCAAGAAGAAAGTTTTAAAATAATGAAAAATAATATGTTGCAATTTCAAACTAATAATTTTAATCTTTATAATATATATAGAATGTTTCAAAAAAGATTTCTAAATAATTTCAAACAATATTTTCTTTTGCAAAAACATTGGTTACGGCTTTGTTAACGAATTAGTAAGAAAAAACGTTGCCCAATCATGCATAATTTACTCGAGCAGTTATTTGTCGCCGACTGAACACAAACAAGTTCAAACAACATATCTTAAAGAGAGTGTATTGAATATTATATTTATTTATTTATTCATTGTTTTTGATATAATTCGATGTAATTTTTTATTTATAAAAAAAATATTTATTATTCGACGCATTCCGTGATTAACCAGTATTTTTTGTTAATAATTTGTTAACAAAGCCGACGAAAATTTTTACGAAAGAAAATGTTGCTATCACCTGAATTTCCGTTTACGGAAATTTTTTCAATATTTTTGAAATTTATATATAAATTTCTTTCTAATAACATACAATATGTGTTATATACAATGTGCATGATAATAAATGTTAAATAAATAAAATATTATTAATTATGATTACAATATTTTATTATTATATTATTTACAATTAAAAGACTTATAAATATATTATTTGGAATATTTTGAGTCCATTGTCCATTTCTTTTGTATCCATTATTATTATTTACAAAATAAAGTCAAATAGTAGAATTAGTTGGATTATTTTTCTAAAAATCTGAAAAACAAAAAAAATTCAAACTAAAAAAATCGAGAAACAAAAATTGTCACATAAAAGTGGATTTTTATTTTTAAATATATCGCATTAAATAAAAATTAATCTAACTAAATATTTCTTTGTATATAATCTTAATTAAAGTTTGTAATTAATAGATGTTTAAGTCTCTATATTTTTGTTAATTCCATTGTATTGTTATCCGTAATATTATTATTGATTATTTCTCATTCATTTTATGGTTTGACTATGTATCAACGTTCAATCTTCTTTAAAATCCTAACTATTCATAATTCACATCACGTTATCAAGCATGACCTACGCTCTGACCTTGTGTCGCGTAACAAGTCTTAAATGAAAGACTTCTTCATTTATTCTTTTTTTATTTCTCATTTCTTTAATCAATGTTACATTATGGAATATAATATATTATAAATTTTATAAATATTTCAATAAATTTGTTCAATATATATAATAATGTATACATAATAATAAATTTTATTAATGAAAATTTTATTGTAGAAAATTGCAGATTTTTATAAATAATTTCTATTTATTTAAAAAAATTAATAATAATTATTTTTTATATGAATTCTTTAAGTTAGCGTTCAAATTCAAATCATAATTAACGAGAAATATTCTAGAAAAAAAAGTGGCGACAAAATAGTAGTCCTTCAATAAAAAAAAATATTCTGTAGTTCTGTAGAATTTTGTTATGTAATAAGAGTAGATCCATAGTAATCCTAGGTTTATTTATTCTTGTAATTTTAACCGTAACATATGCATTAATGCATATAACTTGTTCGATTTAAAAATCTGAAAATCTTTTTTTTTGTTTTTCAAATAAAGTTTCTTGTTTTGTACTATTGTCAGTAATTAAAGAGAATTTGGTTATTTCTCTCGACACTTGTTTGCATTGAAATTATACCATTTCGTGCCAACTCTCTTCTGTCTAGGCCGAAAGAGCCTTGCATTTTAATAGATGCCAAGCATTTGAATACTTTATTTTCTAGTTTTTCTTTTCTCTCTTTCTCTCTTTTGTTTTTCAAAAGTTGGTCGAAGTTTAAATTTTATTAAAATTCATTTGATTAGATTTAATTGAATTGGAAATTTTTGTCAGGAATTAAAATCTTTAAAAATTATCATAAATAAGAGGACACTATATTATTCTCTTTCAGTAACATAATCATTGAATATTACTATGTATTACAAAATTTAATGATATTAAAAAACAATTGTTAAAACATTCGGTATAATATATGATCACTATAGAGAACATTAATATATTCATGGAATATCTTGAAATGCACATAAAAATTAACATGTAAAAATGTTGGTTGAAGTTTATTTATTAAATTAGACAAAACGAAACAGAAATAGAGATGATAATATGATATATAAAATATAAAGTATAAAACTATTTTTTTCTATGTCTATCTCGCTTCATTTAATGTGAATTTTTCGTAAATTTAAATTGCTTTTAACTTAATAAATAAATCATAATTTTCAATTTTGTATTTAAATTTTTATATTTATTTTAGGTTATGGAATTCACTTTTTAAAAATATGTCATAAATATTATCTATATACTGAATATAAATGAAATTTTAAATATTTAAAAGTGCAATTAGAAATTCACAAATATTTCACTATTGTTATTACATTGTTTTAGAAATTAAAAAGATAAGAATATGAAAAATTATATAAAAAATATATATAATTATATAATTATATAAAGAAATTCATTATTAAGATATATTTACATCATATTTTTATTGCCATTCATTTTCTTTATATTCAAATATAAATAACATATGATGTTTATATCGTATGAAATTGTAATTAATATATAATGATACTAAACATAATTATTTGTATATAAATATTTTATTTTTATTTGAAAATATTTTTAAAAATAATAATAATAGAGAAAAACTAAATAAAAATTGAAATTTTAACAATATAAAAATATTTAAATTA